CCCTCGTGTGTACGACTCGAAAGATTGTTCGAGACGGCAGCGAGAAAGATCGTGCTCGCCTCACAGCCCCTTGGCCCCTCACTGTGTACGACTCGAAAGTGAAGGGGGCAGGAAAAGGCGTGTGGACCAATGCTCATCTCCCAGCCCATCTTGTGTTTGGTCCGTATGAGGGCCGTGTCCTATCTGGCCATCCGGAAGCCGGCAAAGAATCTGGCTATGGGTGGAAGGTTAGTGTATTCTGTGGCGTAAAACATATCATATTGCAGAATGATTTTTCAGCGTTTTCTACAAACCAAAATATTTTAAGAGGAAATCCACTTAAAATAGTTGAAAAGTTTTCACCTTCCTGTACTTTCCAGATTGTAGACAGGATGCTGTAGTGGATGCGTTACGTCAACTGTTCAAGGACTGACGCTGAGACTAACCTATCTGCATTTCAGTACAAGGGGCAGATCTACTACAAGACGGACTCTGCAATTAGCAGGTCAGTATAATTCAGTAGTGAAGTCAACTTTTCCTAACCATACACCTGTCATAACGTGCTTATTGATATTTAAAGATACAGACAAAGGCCAAACTAATTGTGAACAGGGGGAGCGAGCTGATGTGCTGGTACGGAGACGATTTCGGGAAGGATCTTGGTCTATCGAGAGAGCCATCCAAGTGGAAATCAGCGAAGAAAGACGCAATAGGTGCGCAAATACGTTTCAAAACCTTATTTCCCATTTTGAAGGGAAAGTGTATTCAGAAATTGTTGCAATAAATTTGAGATGATATAGATTGATATTGTAAGGATAAATAATCCGTAACTAAGCTTGCTATACTTCCAACGTGTGTGTGTGTGTGAGCATGTGCATGTGCATAAGTGCATTAGATGTATGTACATATGTATGTCTGCACATCTATTACATCAATGTATTCAAATATGTACACACATACACACACACACACACACGTGTGTGTGTGTATATACATAGACATTTGCATGCACTCGTGTGTGTGTGTGTATTTGTATGTATATTTATTATATATATACATTTATGTATATATATATTGTGAATTTAATATGTATGTGAATATGTACATATACATATAATGGTTTAACTGCTGTCAGTTCATCTATTTTCTTTGATAATGTATGCACTTTCCCCATGTCTGGATTCTGTTTCAGATCGACAGTGCGAATGGTCTGGCTTAGTCTACACCTCGAAAGATCTAATGCGTCCCCTAAAAGTGTTCAGAAAGCATATTCGCACTTACACGCCGCCAACATGCTCCACGCGAGGAACCAGCAGCAGTAGTGGCTCAACCAAACAATCTTTGCGAGAAGAAGCGCCGCAGTTCCCGGAAAAGGCGTCTCATGAGACGCTGTGTTCGCCAGCATGTGATGAATATAATACTGAGTGTTCGCAGTGTGATTACAAGTGTGAATCTGCTGATATCCTAAATAAACATGTGTTAATACACAGTGGAAAAGAACTGTTGGAGTGTTCAGAGAGTAGGAAAAGATTTGCTGACAGTGATAAGTTGAAGGAAACCAAAAAATAGAATCAGGAGAAAGGCCGTTCGAGCGTTCCGAGTCTGGGAAAAGGTTTAATCAAAATGGTCATCTGAAGACACACCAGAGGATTCACTCAGGTGAAAAGCCGTTCGAGTGTTCCGAGTGTGGCAAAAGGTTTAGTCAAAGTGGTTCTCTGAAGAAACACCAGAGGTTTCACTCAGGAGAAAAGCCGTTCAAGTGTTTCGAGTGTGGGAAAAGGTTTAATCAAAGTGGTCATCTGAAGGCACAAGAGGATTCACTCAGGAGAAAAGCCGTTCCCGTTCGAGTGTGAATTTAGTGAAAGTGGTTCTCTGAAGAAACACCAGAGGATTCACTCAGGAGAGTTCGAGTGTTCCGAGTGTGGAAAAGGTTTAGTCAAAGTGGTCATCTGAAGAAAGAATTCACTCAGGAGAAAAGTTCGAGTGTTCTGAGTGTGGAAAAAGGTTTAATCAAAGTGGTCATCTGAAGACACACCAGAGGATTCACTCAGGAGAAAAGTCGTTCGAGTGTTCTGTGTGGAAAAAGGTTTAATCAAGTGGTCATCTGAAGCACAGAGTTCACTCAGGAGAAAAGCCGTACGAGTGTTCCGAGTGTGGAAAAAGATTTAGTGAAAGTGGTTCTCTGAAGAAACACCAAAAGATTCACTTAGGAAAAAAGCCGTTCGAGTGTTCCGAGTGTGGAAAAAGATTTAGTGAAGTGGTTCTCTGAAGAAACACCAGAGGATTCACTCAGGAGAAAAGCCGTTCGAGTGTTCCGAATGTGGAAAAGGGTTTTGCAAGTGGTAATCTAAAACCACACCAGAAGATCCACAGAGTGCGCTGAATTATTTGTCTCACCTGTACATTTTGCTTTAGATGTGAGGCTAAGATATAAAAGGACAGGGAAACATTTTGATTTTTTTTTTTTTTTTTTACACCAAATGAAGGCCTCAGCTGACTAGTTTACTTTACCCAGTACGACTATCTGAAAACCTTACTTATACTTTTTATTCAATCCTCAATGGTAGAGGGATTTTTTAAGGAATTTGGTGCATATCAATAAAAAAACGAAAGCAATTCTTGAGCAAGTTTGTTACTTATTTCCTATTTTTTGTCTCCAAAAGGATTGATTTATAATATATATATATATATGATATATAATATTTAATCCTACAGATTCGTTTTAACTTAAATATAACTAATACTTAAATAATAATAAGTTTGATGTCCAGGAATTTTGGCGGGAAATCTTTGATCGTGACGTCATACTCGAGCACCTCTGAAGCTCAGACCTTTCAAGCACAACAAAAGATTCAACTTTTACTATGAAATTTGATAATTTCTTGAACTGTCATATCTAGAGACCATTGTGCAATATATCTCGTGGAATCGATGGGTATGGCGAAAATCATTACAACACCTCCTTCCCTCTCTCACTCTATCTTTATCTCCTCCTCCCCTCTCTCACACACTACCCCTCCCCTTGTTCTCCATCTCTTGGGTATCCCCCACATTTCTTACCTTTTCTCCTCCCCTCCTATCAACCTCTCAACCTCGCCTCCCCTTTCGCCACAACAAACATAAGATTGCATATTTGCTTTTCCTTACTCCCGCTCACTCACTCGAGACTCGCCTCATCAATTTGCCTTGCTTCATCCTCGTTTATCGGTTTCAACTCTTCCTCTTTCCGTCTTGTTTCAGTGATCCTGTCTTATTTTTATAATTTTTTATCTTTATTCATGATTTTTATTTTTTGTGGCTGACTGGGTCTATGGTATCTTTTTTTCTCATTTTCCATTAGATTTTGCTCTCCTTCCCCTCCCTTGTGCCTCTTTCTCGTTTCGTTTTTTCTCTCTCTGACTGCCTGTCTGTCTTCTATCTGTCCATGTGTGTGTGTGTGTGTGAGTATAAAAGGCTCTAAAGCCTCCTATATGGATTTATTGAATTACTGGTGGCGGTAGATACACTGATGTAGCTGTGCACTTTTATTTAAGAACACTAGTATGAAAGGAACGCGATACGGCTCTTGGTGCTGGTGTCCGGCCTACACGCCAACGAGGTGGTACGGCCGACTACGGGCAAGCTCGCCGAGGTATGAGAATGAGAGCTTGGGTCAAGCAAGCAAAGTTAAAAGAAAAGAGGTCGGCCACCCTTATATTCTGACCAGCGGGCGCAGGCGGGCGCGAACTGTGGACCACGTGGTCCAACCAACGCCGGTCTGCGGACCCGGATATAACCTTACAGGTAACAACAAGCCCAATTTGGTTTGCAGCGTGGGATCTACCAGGAGTGTATTTATGAGCTTTCTCTGCTCGTTGACTAATATGAAGATTTTTAACGTCCAGTGTTTAGCTTTTTCCTGTTAGGTTAGCTGTTTTAGTAGTTTTAGAAGAGCCACATTTCTTGTGTTTTATGTTCTGTGCTTTTCTTGCAGGTTTTGTAGTATTTTTAGTATTTTGAGCGAGGCTTTTCTCTTTCAGCATTTTAATTTTTGTCTGTTTTTACTAATGCCCGCTCACCAGTTAGTTTTATTTTATGGCTCTTGCTAGGTATAGGGACACTTTTATTTTGCTGTGTTTTAATCTTGTTTTTACCCCTGCTAATTTTACTTTTTCCCCTTTGTTCGCACTTGGTTCGTTTTTTTGTATTTTACCCAGTTTACGGGCAGATTTTAAGTTTTAAGTTTTCATGCGCCAGTGTTTGGCCTCAGTCGATCACGCATCACTGTTCACTTTGTTTTGTGTGTTAGCCAGTATCTCTGGCTACTTTTTGTGTTGTGTTTTTTTGAGCTACACAGCTCCAGTGTGTGTGGGACTTCGTTCCCTTTTGTCACCAGGCTTTGTACTATGCCTGGACGTGGGCGATCTTTACGCGTCACAAGGTCATCGAGCCAGCCAAGCTCGCGCACTTCATCGCCTGACAACCGTACAGCCCTTCCAGTCATAGTGGTTCAGGGTTCCAACACCGAAGTGCAGGACGCAGTTCGAGCCGTGGAAGGGGAGGTTACGATGATGGAGGAGATGCTGCAGAGGATGACGAACCTTGTCGCCCAGAACAGGGAAGAACTGCTGCGCAGAATGGAGGAGATAGCCCGGACGAGCGAGGACAGACTGCAGCGACTTGAAGACCAACTTCAGGAAAGGACTGCTCCTGCCGAAGCGGTGGTATCCCGCAGTAATGGGAGCCAGGTTCCCTCAGCAGTACAGCCTGAGGAACTGCCAGCAGACGCCCCACTTCCTGCACAAACAAGACCCACCACCTGCAGCCAGGCCTTCCAGCCCCATCCGCCAATAGCTACTAGGGAAGACCTCCAGGAATGGCAGCGACAACTGGAGGAAAGGGAAAGACGCATACACGACAAGAACAGGCCCTCTCCACAGCCAGCCAAAACCGCCAGCATACAGAAGGATGGAAGCAGCTCAAGGCGACTTGTTGGCACACCCTCGGTCTCCATCACACTTTCGAGAGGCTAGACAGACTTTCCCCGAGCCAGCCCCAAGATTGTCAACTCCTGTACACCGCGATGAGCCAGCGGAGGATCACCTTCGACACCAGCAGCCTTCACTGATTTCCAGGGATGTCATCCCTTACCTTGTGTCCCGGGACTCCATCCCTCACTTTAAGGGAGAAACCTCTGCTTGCGAGCCCTTGAAGAGGAACCAAGAGGTAGAAAGTTACATTCGGGCCATCGAGAACCTGGTACGACCCGCAACTGATGATGCGTACATCCGGGCTGCGAGAGCGAGCTGTCGGGGCAGAGCGGAGACCATCATCAACTCCGAGAGCTTCGACGGAATACAGGACTGGGACACCTTCAAGCGGCAACTTAGGCGTAAATTCAGGGGAACATACAGTGCCTCTGATTTCTTCAAGGTGCTGTATGATCACGGAATGACTGAGAGGCAGGCTCCGATGGACTTCTTCCTTGAGGTGGAGGCGTCAGTCTTCCAAGGCTACCGGGACCACCGAGGAGCTGTAGGAGAGCCTTCTGAGCTGATCAGGCGGGTCTTCCTTGCTGGCTTACCATCCACCTTACGCGATCTCCTTGTCCTCAAGGATGATTGTTCGCCTATCCAGCTTGCCGAGACCGCCCAGAAGCTTTGGAACTCCAGGTATGGCATCAGGCACAGCAGTTCCAACACTCGCCACCAGTCTCCGAACAACATCCAAGAGGACGACTACCAGCTTCGACGTCGCACTCCAGACCGGCCACCTCGTACTCGAGACCGTTATGACCTGTTCCTGTTGCCACCTCACCGCACCTGCTCAGTCTCTTTCCTCGCCTCCAACATCACGGCGTAATGTATGGTGTGAATACCATCGAAGTTCAACCCACAGCACCCGGGAATGCAGAGCTGCTGCCCGTCAGTCTTCACCACCAGCCTACTCTTGTTTCCGTTGTGGAAGGAGCGGTCACATGTCTCGTGAGTGCCCCTTTCCGAGAGGCCAGGAAGGAAGGGTTCCCAACTTCACTGGCGACTTTACAAGAGGGAACCCGCACACGCTCCATCACAGTCCAGACAGAGCCGGTCCAAACAACAGCAGTGACTACCCAGCAGTCGGCGGACGTCCAGTCGTGGCACTCAGTGTTGATGGGAAGACTCTTCTCTGCTTCATCGACACTGGGTCTCAGGTGACTTTAGTTAAGCCAAGTGCTTTAGAAGTCCTCGATCCGGCGAAGAAGCTCCGACATTATGCTTCTAGCAAGATCCTCCAAGGCGTCTCAGGGGAGCCCTTCCATCCAGCTGCAGAGGTGACGCTCAGCTTTAACATCAGCAAAGATCTTGTGCTACTTCACCGCACCATAGTGGCTGATCTGTCCTTCCATGGCGATGTCCTTCTTGGGACTGACTTCTTGCGACGCCAGGACTTCACTTTGCAGTCGGAAGCCCAATCACCTCATGGACTGCTCATCCTGGGAGGTTGTGAGCTGTCGCTCCTATACACTGATGCCCACTCCCTACAGATTAGCCTGGTTGACTCAGGCCTGACTGATTCTCCTGGACTCCATGCACCTGCTCCACAAGAAG